GTTTTGCATGCTATATGCAATGGTGGCCAAAATGAAACTTATTAAACATCACCAAATCTAAGGGACCATATCAGCATTTTAAGAGAAGCCTCGTTAAGATGAAATTCTGTATTTCAGCTCCTAGTGAAGTAATTTGACATTTCAGTGTCACATCTAATACTCCTGATCAATGATGTAATACACTGTACACTGCATTTTAGTGAGCAGGAAGATGGGTTTGTGTGCAGCAGTTATCTACTGAAGAAACTGCTGTTAACCTGCCTTTGGATTTATGCTTCTTTTCTCTGCTTTTGATCAAATCTATGATAATTTTTATAAGATAAAATAGAGAGAGATGCCACAAGAATAGCTCATCTGAATGCAAATGAGCTTTTTTCCCCTACGTATCTCTCAGGGCTTATCTTTTTATTACTCTCCCAGAAAGCAGGACAAGTCTGGTTAGAGCCATGGGCTAAATCAGAAATGACTTGGCAATCCACTGATAACATGGCATTTCTAGAATATATTCTCTGCTCTGAGCTCCAGTGGCTAAGGGTGAATCATAAAATTGTACCAGTCAATCAGCTTCAGATCTGGCTTTTACATGAAGACTTATGAAAATTTAAGTGTCTTTTATTACCTATATAGAAATTTTACGCTGAACATCTGCAACGCACCACGGTCATAGGTCAAAAATAAGATTGCAACACAGTGTAAATGAAATAGGACTTTTGCTTAATAGATTTTTGGCTTGTTTCTAATAATTTGAGTTCTGCCATAGTGTCAGTGATGTACAATTAAACAGCTGGATTTCCCAAGAGTCATATAATATCTGTTTAGGCTCTATTAAAAATAGAAGAAAAATAACCACTCTTCATACAGATCATTAGTGTTACATCCTTTCTGGGCTTTGAGTTTTTCTTATTTAAGCATAGGATAATGAAAAGCATTGAAATGGGATTTCAAGGCAGGTGGTAGTCAAGGTGTGTGTTGTCTGATAATCCCCAACATCGGCAGACAATTTGCTGAAGATAAACAATTTCTTCCAAGAAAAACAATCATTTATCCTCTTTATCTTCCCTGGTGTCTCCAGAGAGCACACTATTAGCTTAATAAAGTTACAGCTATTTGAATATATGTATTTAGGAAGTACATATATAATTTTTAGAGCATGCTGCTGCAGCATTATTTTATTTTTTTAAGATATTTCAACAGAATATTCTGTGAAAGAAAAGTGTTTCCAACCACAGTCCAGACCTCCTTTACCCTTATTAAACAGCTTTGCTTTCCCAGTGTATGAGTAAAATTCTTAAACTGAATGTGGCACACACTGTTTTCACTGCTAATAAAGATAAATATAAATAGCTTAATGAAAATAGATTCTGCTATGCTGCCAATTATCAGAGAAAAATTAGAATCAAAATATGCTGTTAAAAGAATTAAAATACGTTGTTGCTTGAGCCTTGAGTGTTAAGGTTACTCTTAATCTCTTATATTATTCTACCCTCAATTTGTCAACACAGAGCAAGCCTTGTCCTGCTGCACTTAATTCAACTGCAAGTACCATTTTTTGCTGTTGATTTTCACAATGTACAGCTCTCTCCATTATTTCCATTATTCAACTTTATTCCTTGGTAGGTTTTGGTTGTTTCTTTTCAATCATAGGTAGCAAATGTTAGTTCCTATGAAATATAAACCAGACAGATCTAGTACATCGATTTTGGATTTGTGGGGTTGGGGTTTTTTTTTCCCTTTTCTGGATAGCACCCACAGAGAACATGATTAATACCAATTTCCCCACTTGTCCAACACAAAGACCATCACAAGCTTCCCAAAGTGCACTTTTTGAGAGGCATATGCACGTTGGACCATAATTACATGTCGAGCAGTGGAATTGCTTCACTACAGCGGAGAATTAAAGGAGACTAACTAACCTATAGGTTAGCAAAAGGTGAGCGTTAATGGATCCATACATCAATTTAAGTGCCAAGTGTCCATAGGAGCTTTCAAGGGTGATAATGGATTTTAGTATCACTGTAGGGACAGATTTTAATTGTGCACTATAACAGTGCTGTTTGAGCCATTATATGACTGAATTATTACCATTTCTCTAGCCACTTGGATGTAAAACTTGACTCTGGGCTGAATTGTGGCACTTCAGGGAATCCAGGAGGAAATTATTTTACACGTTCAACAAAATTAAATATATTTTGCATTCCTGACATCCCCACTCACCAACTTTAAGCCAGTTCTGTCCCAGGCTTGTTCTACAAAACCTGTGTATTGGTATAACCTATGCCGGTATCTTCCAAAAAAGGAAGCCTAATCATGTGTCCTAAGAGGTCAAAATCTATGGGGTCAGTAAGGCAGGGGAGAGGACAAAGGAACCAAGGAAAAAAGATAGAACAGAGAGAGGTAGGCTGACATAAACACTGCATACTCCAGTTATGCCTGGTTATGCCCCCATGAATCCCTATGCAAGACAGTTATTCCAGGAACAAACCCAGAGTTCTCCCTGCTCCTCTCAAGTGAATCAGTAAATCTCAGCTTCTGAGGAAATAAGACAAATATAAATCTCCCAGGGCTTGGTGCCTTCATCTGTCATACAGTGACTATACCCCTGATACATAAGATTTCTTAATCAATATTTACTTCTCGTATTTCCATTTTAAAATTGGAATGCGAGCACCATATTCATAATGCAACGTTTCTGCAACCACAGAGCCAATATTCTCCTCCCAATTAAAATGCAGCAAACAGATTGGTTTTAACACTCAGTGGCATTCTTTTTATGGACTCCTGTTCCTTCATAGCCCACTTAGTTATAAATAATCCATGCATAGAGCAATTAGGCCTTTTCCCTGCTTTATGGGTTACAGACTTTATGCCTGTGCAAGCGTCATAAAATACTCCAAAGCATTACAATGCAACAAAACACATCTAAATCCCTACATTAAGAGTCACTGAATAATTCTGATATTTAATTACTCCTCTTTTGTTATATGATTACAGTCCTTTGAGTGAATCACACAATTACTGAGTCCAGACCAAAGAAATACTATGCTGCTTCTTCTCTTGCAGAAATGTTATTTATAACCTTTGTACTTTAAACATAGAGTCAGGTTACACTGAATTATACAGTATCAGTAGAGATGCTTGAGGAGAATTTGCAGCAACAACTGAAATCTTTGCCCTCCTCTATGTAGAAAAGATTCAATATTGCCTGGGGAATTATATTCAAGGACAGAAATAGAGTGAGAAAAATCTCTCGATAGAATTTTCCAAAATAAGCGTAGACTGTGAAAGACTGGGAAGAATATTAATCTGTTTGATTCATACACACTCTCTTTTAGGACAAATTAATTATGCAGCAGGAGCATTTAGCATAAAAATGCAAGCTTTGAAATGTGTTAAGTGTAGTACAGTGAAATGAAGCTGATGGAACTGATAGAAGGAGATTGAAAGGGGCTAATTAGAAAATGTCTGGGAGAGTATAACCATTTGACAAAAAGTACATAAGATAAAGCACTGCAGGCTTTAGCAGATTATTAATGGTCTGTAAGATTTATTATCCATTCACCTTTGAGATCAGCTTCCCCCCCCCAGATGAGTCTCAGCTGCAAAAATGCAAAACAGCAAATGCAACTGTTGGTTATAATGAGGTCACAAGTTAATTGTGTTCTTATTTCGAATTTTAGAGTAATAGCCCTAGGAATATAATGTCTTACAATAAACACTAGCTCAACAAGCTGAAGCTATAAACTGGAAAACCATCACCACATTCTCATCTTTCATAGTTTTGCATAAAGGGCGAACAAACACCTTTGTTCTGAGGACCTCAATCCCACCAGAGGTATTAATGCTCTGGGAAAAATTGCCTTTAGTAGGCCTAAGCAGATTCCATTACTGCAATGATTTTTTTCCCCGAGGAAAAATAGCATAGATAACATTTCACTCCAGCAGTCACTCATTTGGTCACGTGGCTGAGCAGTATTACTGCTCTCTGTGTGCAAGGTTCTGAAACTAGAGCCCTGAGAAGAGTCACTTGAGACCTCCCTACCAATTTTCAATGGAATTAATGTGATAGCAAAGCCATTAGAAATTACCCAGTGATTTTATGCACAACTAGAAGATTTAAAAATCTACATCAAAAAGAAACAGGTACGGCTTTGAGTATTGGGGGGTTTAGATTAAAAAGATGACTTCTGCCTTTCTTGACCCTATATTTGGCTTATTAGTCATCTTTACTAAGTAGGAGGATGGAGAACTGGATGTTTTTGACATTACACAGTTAGGACAGCGAGTCAGGTAGAACCAGACATAAATTACAGACCTGTTGGGTAAATCTGCAGTGCTCTGCTTCTTCTGATTTACCTGAGAGTTCATGCCATAAAAACACTCCATGGTCAAGCTTTACATTTCAGAAAATTAAGAGAAGCTTGTTTTCTTAAATTTTCCAGTCCACTGGTTTACAGCTGGTCATGATTGATCACTTGCTATTGCTATTTTTTAATAATCACACTTTGAGCTTAATATAGAATTCTAATAATGTAGAAAGAATCTACATTAATAAGCTCTGTCACTTAATATCCTTTTTGTATAGAAGTTCCTGAGGTTCTTACTTCTCCGTGGAAGCATTTACTATTCACAAAACCCAGTGCAATAGAGGACTCACAGCAACAGATTCTGTGCAATAGCCATGTAATAGTCATTTGAAGAAATGCTTGAAACATTTAGGCACCCCATGAAATAACTGAGGGAAACACTCAGTGTAACAGAACGTGTCACTCAAGTCATTTGGCAAAGTGACTCAAAGACTATAATTATTTCATAAAATTATTGCTTTTTGAATATGACCAACATAAATATGATTTGTCCTTTAGTATGGTGCACCTCTTGGCTTCTTGGAGAACTTTCAATGCGCTGTGAAACAGCTGATACACAAAAGATCACTGCAACAAAGTTCCATGGATAAGGTTTCCATGTTTTGTTCTTATTCAACACAACTTATACTCACAGTGGTGACAGTTGAGAGTCCTTTTTTCAGTCCCTTCCCCAGACATGTCCATTTATTTAATAATTCTGCAAGAAATGGATTAATTTTTATAATCACAAATTATTTAACAATTATGTGCAGGGGAAGTAATGCTGATTCCAGCCTTGCTACTCCAGCTCTATGCTGATTCATCACTACATTACCTCTGATTCTACTGATTTCTAAGCACTCGTTTCAAAAATCTGCAATAACAGACCAGTTAATCACACCCATACTGTGCCATGTCACAACAAAACGGAAACCAAACAGTGGCACTAGAACTACTGATATTATTTGATCATGGATTTCAGGTTTCAAAGCACAAAAATAATGAAAGGCCAAACATGGAAGGTATCACCTGTGAGAGATTAAATAGCTGTCTGTTATTCCAACAGCAGCCTCAATTTTATCAAGCTTTAGAAGACAGAATAGATCAAGGAAGACTATATAAAACCACTGAAAGTCTCTCATTGCACATTTGTTTCTGGTCATTTCCAATGAATTAATGCCCAGCAATGCAAAACTCCCTGAGGAGTTCTTAATAAGTCAATGGAAATTTTGTGTAAAAGTAAATGAGAGAATACACTACTTTTTAAGTTAAATATCAAAATAGTACTCATTTTCCAAGTGCTTCTCAAACATTTAAGATTTGTTTTGAAAACAGAAAAGAAAAAAGCTGTTGATTTGTATGTGATATTTACAATAAGTACATAAAGTGGCAGCAACATTATGTACACATTGGTGGTGTGTTGCTGTTAGAAAAACAAAATTATGAATTTTATTTCGATCCTTCTCTAGGATTATTTTTGTAGGGTTAGTTAGATCCTTGGTGACTGAAATATCAGTGGGAGGGAAAGGGGGAAGTTGCTATGTTCAATAATTAGGATTCTCGCTAAAAATGTTGCCATCTGCGTTAATAAAACCTACACTTCTTTATTTTGCTAAGAAACTCTGAAAATGGCATTCGTGTGGGCACGCTTCATGACTCTGGCTCTGTAAGGTATAAAATAGTGTGCAAAATACTGACCATTAGTGCCAGCCATCCATCAGAAGATTAGCTCTTCTTACTAAGTGGTTTTAGGCATCTTGCTTAAAAATTCCACAGCATCAGTTCCTGTATGAGGTCAGCCTGTGAAAAAGTTTGCAGAATCATATCCCTTGCTTTTTATAATTTATTACATGTCCTGTGAAGAATTAGGTATGAATAATCTTATATAAATATAACTCCACTCAGCTTAACCTTTGAGACTTCTCCCACTGGGATTTAAAATTAATCTCTATGTATTTCTTAGAAAAAAAAAATTCTATATATTATCTTGTGGATATTTCCCATTGAAATTTTTACTTGCTCTTTAACTGTTCTAGGTTGAATTTACTTAGATTTTGTTTTTATTCTCAGATTTTCTAAGTTGCAAAGGCTACAGAGCTATAAAATGGTGCAATAGCTGTGATCACAACTTTCTTTTTTTGATCTCATCTCTGGACATTATAAAACTCAGGTCAACATTACTAAAAGAAACTGATCCTGATGAGATCTTGAATCCAGGTTCTCCAGCTCCACCTTCTGGTACAAAAGTACCTAGAAGTACTTCAGCAGCTGATTTTAACCAGCCATAATATCTTGAATATCTGAAAGGGATTCCAGCAAAAATGAGCTTATCATTCATAATATATGAGAAGATCTGGGTTGGTAGTTACTTGACTGAAAGAAAATAATTTTTTCTGCCCAATTCTCACATTTCTTCAAATCCCCAAAACATAGTGTAATTAGTTCTCAAAAATGCTTCAATCTACGGGGACTAGATAAAAATCATTTTGGGTTTATATTCAAGATTGAAACAGACTCAAAATAAATCCTAAAATCTTCTGGGATTCACTTATTGCAGATGTTATATAACATATGCAGGGTATTTGCACTAGAGCTGTTCTAGTCTGCACCAGAGTAACAGAACCAGCTCAAAAGCTAATCCTTGACTCCTCTGAATTTAAAATTTCTCAAGATAACTACGGGTTTAGCCACATAACTCACTTTATAATGAGCACCAAGAACAAACCTCTGGAAACCTTATTCTTGCTTCCTCTGGTAAACTATATGTGTAGGTGCTGAATATTCTGAACTGTTCCAGTGCTAAACCAATTCAGTGTTAAGGCAAAAATCTAAGCGAAACACAGGAAAAGGCAAATCACTTTGCTAAAGCTGCTTCAAAAACACCTTCTTAAAGCAGTGTGTTACTTATGCTTCCTTTAAGATTAAGAAGTATTTTAAGCTGCTACTTTTCCCACTAATACTATTTGAAGACCTTGAGCTCCCAAAAAACCACAACGGAGGTTGCCCTCAGTGCACCAACTGTTCTGCTGTGTGTGGCTTTCTGACACAAAACTAGAGGAAACATTAAATCTCAGAGTTTTCAGAAAGTGGAAAATTTGAGTTCTTACTAATTGCAATCTTGGAGGTTAACTTGGGATTTTAGACTTTTGTTAGTGATTTTATTTATCTGTGATATTTTAAATTATTCATAATATTGCAATATTCCATTATCAACTGTGCTGAATTACACCATTCGGTTGAGAGTCCTCCAAAATACACAGGGAGAGACATTTGAAACATGAAGAAGAGTTTATTCCATGGTTTCAATTCTTATTTTCCTGCCCAAATCCTTATAATGTCATGTGAGCTAATCAAACAGCTGCCAAACTGTAAGAGAAGATGGAAGTGGCCTTCTTACCCACCTTACTAAAATTATTTGTGCTTTGAGGTTCTTGGGTGAAGAACATCCTTGAAGATCCTTGGAGGAGCAGTGCTTTCCAGATTTATCCAGGGAGATGATCTACACTTTCTTGGGGCAGGGCATTTGTCTGTAATAGAGAATGCAGGGTTCTGTAATTTTTAAAAGAGTATTTGAATGGGGGGAAGGAAGAGGGAAGCTGAGCAAAATTTCTATTTGAATATAGCTCCCATTACCTGGAAATTACAAAAAAATTATGGTTTTGTAGTGATGGCTTCTTGCTGTCTTGCAGTGGAAAAGGTACCACAGTAAACCACTTTCAATCTGAAAAAAAAAACACACCGAGGAAAAATCATGGAGAATAGTAATAAAAACCCATTAAAGAGATAAACCCTTCAGTAGAACTTAAAGAAACAGAACTTTTAAAAATTGTCTTCTAACCTGTACATTACAGTCACACCAAATTTGCAGCTTTTAACTCCTAAGCAGTCTCATTACAATTCTTCAGGTACTTGGATGGACTTGGATTGTGGAATAATGTTGCAATTATTAACAGCTGGATGCTGACTTAACTATAATTTAACTTTAACAATTTTTAATTTAATTGACCATAATCAACCATAAGAGAATTTCATACAGTTTGACATATCCAGTGGATTATCCTGATACCTGTTCAACTGTGGGTTCATCAGACTTTTAACATGTTCCAGGTTAACCTGGAATAATTTAAACTGCCTCTCAGGAATTCCATTCTTCAAAAAAATAAAAAATGAGTGAGGAATTAATATAATTTTCTATATAAATTGCATCTTTATTAAAATTTTGTCCTTTATGACCATTGAAAGATTGGAAGTTTATGTATGTGTTTACAAATGGGAAGGTCCTAATTTTTTACAGTAAAAATTTAATTCCATCACCATTTTTCTTTGCCCAACAAATCCTGGAGATTCAAATGGCTGGAAAAACACGGAATGGTGCGTGTAAATGGTGGGTTATATTAAAATGAGAAAGTCTCTTACATCTTCACAAGGTAAGATACAAATCACACAAAAAGGCATTCTGAGGATAGTATTTGTTTGAGGAACACAGGAGACCTCAATTACTATCCAATGAGGTGACCAACATACTTTTGACTGTTAAAAAACTGCATGTTTTTTACAAGATTTTAGTCATATATTAAATATTGCATGTTTGAATACATACTTGTAACACAAAAAACACAACAGAAAAGTAAAATCCCAACCTTTTCCTTATATTTAAACAGTGATATTTTGAAATGAGGATTCAGAGCCCCAAGAAATTTAAATTATTTTTGTACCTTTGCTTTGATCAGGGAATTTGCCATATCCCTTACTTCTGGTTTCATTCAGTTGGAACTTGTTCGTGCAGTGATTCCTCTAACATTCTGGGATTTAAACTCGTCCCTGAAGAGATAGCTGACATAAAATTTACTGTGATGTCAGTGGTTAGAGCCTTTCTAATTATTTTTCCCCTCACCCAGTACCTGGAATCGTCTAATCTCCTTCACTAGGCTGCAAGCTCATTAAAATTGGAACCTTAATTAAGAATATTCAAGCAATCGCATTTTTCCTTGCTGATGGCACCGCGACAGCTGCTTGACTCATCCTTCAGACTATAAATAAATAAATAAAGCTACTATGGTTAGGGTTTTTTTTTAAGAAGACAGAGTAGATTTGGAACAGGCCTCTTCCTAAGGAAGAATTCCTGAAGGAAGTGACTTACAGGAATCACTGAACACTTGGCAGTTTGGCTAATTGATGGCAGTTTGGTCTTTACAAATACAAACCAACACTTTCACTGCCACACGTGGTGGTTGGCAATGTTGAGTCTGAAAACAAGAGTACTGTGAGGCTAGTTTCTCCTCCAGCCTCCTTTTTTTTTTTATGTACACCAGCACATTATCATCTTTACTAAGACTTGCTGCAAGTTTAAAATACCCTGATAAAGCTGAGAGAGTATTGCAACAGTATTAATCTACTGACTCATTCCATAATTTCACAGTTCTGAGCAACAACTCCCATTTCATGGGCAGGTCATTGAGCTCTGTGATGCATTAATTGGTTTGCAGGAGAAATACATGAAAAGCTGGTTGGAAAAAATCATATTATACAGGATCTTCACCATCTCAGTGCCTTTTAGTCCTACCACTCATGGACTACTCAAGCAGTTTTAGCTCACGTCAGTGAATCTACAATGATGTGAAAACCCTGTCCTTCTGACAGGGTAAGAGTTTTACACACATCTTTGCATGGGTGTAAATCATAAGGCAGAGGAAAAAGCTATAAAATACTGAGTTCTGCTTCAAAATTATAGGCTTTATTACTCAAAGCAGTGAATGTTAAAAGTGTTAATTTAAAAGAAATAAACAATTATGTAAACATCTTCCCTAACCTGATTTTGTAAAAGTTCAGAGCTTGTTTTCTTCGTGATCCCATGCAAAAATGGGATCTGAGAAGGAAAAGGGAAGAGTTGGCTGAGGGGAGTCAGCTGATAGTAACGTGCTGAAGTCATGGGTATTCACAGGATCATCAAGGTTGGAAGAGACCTTCAAGATCATCTAATCCAACTACCAATCCAGCACCACCATAATCACGCCTAAACCATATCCCCGAGTACCACATCCAGATACCTCTTGAACACTTCCAGGGATGATGACTCCACCATCTCCCTGGGCAACTTATTCCAATGCCTGACCACTCTTTAAGTGAAAAGAATTTTTCTGGTATCTACTCTGAACTTCCCTTGGTGATTTTGATTCAAAATATAGTACCTTGACTGCTAATTGCCAATAATTGATGCAGAGACTTGCAATAACATCCTTCCTCTTCCTTGGAAACAAAGCATAATAATAATGCAGGAAAAAGTTTTTAGCACAAGTAAATAAAGAATATTTGTACTGTAGCTGTTCAGGACCACTGAGTGTGTGGTAAACCCTAATCTTACCTCTATCCATTCTAACAGCTTGGTTTCCATGGTTCATTAGATGCTGGTATTTCTGCCTGTGGACATTGGAAGGTTGGCTGGGCACTGCACGTGGAGGGTAATGCAATACTCTTTGTACCCTGGATGGGTCTGAATCACTGGATGAACACCCTGTAATGGATCTGCACATATCAGTGGCCAGTTTTCCAGGTTACTCCTGCTCCAGCTGACCTGCTGGAACTCCAGGGTAACAGGACAAGTGCTTCGTTTTCCATCAAGTCTGTAGAAACCATAAAAGAGGCAGAAGGACAAACAGGATTCCTAAAAGCAGCAGTCTGTGGCCAAAAGCAGCAGAGTCAGCAGCTAACATTTCACTTCTTAGGATATTCCACTTGCAAAAGTTCTAGTTGAGTACCTGCTGAAAAGCAGAGGTTGTACTTCATGTTTATGTCAAACCACAATAGCCACATTGCTGTTGCTATTCGAAGAACAGGGGGAAACTCTGGGGTTTGTTAGGTTTTAAACAGTTTCCAATTTCAGGCCTAATAGAAAACAAAATGGAAAATATCACAGGTATTAGGACTTAGAAATAGAGATATGGAAGAACACGAAAATGTTATAGTCAGGTTGCCTATTGCTTTTTCAGCAGAGCAGAGACTTTGCAAACACATAAATACATATTTTTTTCCCCCATGAAGAAGAAAAAGTGTCTTATAAGCTGTGAGGAAAGCCATAAAAACAAAGCAAACCTGATTCCTGCAAACAGAAAATGTTCTTCAAAAATTCAGTTTGGGGAGCATAAATATTTAATTGTCTCGAGCACGTCTTGGAAGCTCAGATTTACTCCAAATGGTGTCAAGAGCAAACAAAACAGCAACACAGTCTCTTTTAATAAGAAATACCTTGTGAAAAAGTATTTCCTTATAATCCTTCACTATTCCAGCATATTTAGAGAGATAAAATATTCTGAAGTATTGCTTTATGTCTGCATCTTGTAAGCAACTCCAGCTCATAACATCAGTGGTGGAGAGAGACAATGAACACTCCTTTTGTTTGATTGACTGCAAGGTTCAGACACATACAATATTAATAAAACTAGTTTATTCGTACACAGGTTTGTTAGAATAATAAGCTGGTAACTTTGCATATCCTTAAGAAGCAAAATGAAACATTTAAAGTAGTAGGACAAAACCTGTCTACCTCTTCATTAAAAAAACCCCAAAAACATATTTTTAAGTACCAGGTAGGTGTAGCCCATTTCCAAAGCCTTGCTCTGAGCATTGGACAACTGGCTCCAGACTTGATATTTGTCAGGTTATTTGGTGAATGTTGAGTGAATCCTGGTTGATAATTAATGTTACAGAAGACTACTAATTGTAAAATATACATCACCCAACTTCTAATAAACAAACTTCAATAAGCGCAATTTTAAATCTAAAATGAAAAACAGAATTTCTAGGGAAATTATTTTATAGAATCACGCTAATAAATAGTAAGGCATTATAGACAGTTAAATGACTAGCAATTAATTTATATAATCAGATTAACAGTAATATATATGTACAGCAATTACAAATGTTATGAGCTCGAAGAGTTTATCTAATTGTAATATCCAAGCATTACTTTCTAAATAACACAAAATAATTTGTCTGATTAAACCTTTGTATAAGATAATATGCAGTGGGCATGACTAAGAGCTAAAATTCACAGCTAGTATTATCTTTGAAAGACAGAAATTTACTGTTGACAAGTAGGAAAAAAGAGTATACATAGAAATAAATAACATGTACATTCATACTGTATACATCAATTTTCAATAAACTTATTTCAGGTAAAAATTGAAAATTGTGGAAAATTCTACTGTATATGACCAGAGTTCTGTCTGAAAACACAGACTGGAAACAGTCCTGCCCCTCAGAAATATTATTCTGTTTCTAGTTAGAGTTTTAGAAGAATATATGGTAAAAATAAGACTTCCACTTGGTTTCAAAATTTGTTATTCTAAGAAATTCTTGCCATTGTTATTTTTTTAAATGAATATCCAGTGAATTTGGGCACATTTCTAAAACAAGTAAACTAACTCGAATACTTTAAACCTCTCATTTTGAAATGTGATATTCCAGATACTTCAGCTCTGTGCAACACCTCGAGGCTATTTTTAGGTGTATTTTGTGAGTACAGAAGAAATTTGTAAATCGTTTTAGCCGGGTTGAGTTAGACATGTGAGAAGCACACACTGAGCCCCTCAAACTTGGCACTCACGTTCTGTGTCCTCAGCAATGATAATTTCATTTTTCTGAACAGGTTCTTTTCACTCTAGCAGCAGCAAACCAGTCTAAATGGGAAATCATTTGATGCTGCTCCCCAGGCACTGCTAATCATGGTAATCTAATCTCTTCAAATTAACCCTCCTGCTGCAGTTCCACAGACAATTAACCCTTGTATTGCAGTGGGTTGTGCAAATCAAATCTCAACCACATTACCGTCACCTTCTGCTGGCTGTGCAGATTGCTCAGGATCCATAATTGCTCAGGAAGACTTTCCTTTCACATGATTACTCCCAAGGCTTGCAGTAGTGTCTGGGGAAAATTCAGAGGAGAGCAGAAACACCAGAATCAATCCATCATCTCAACAAGTCACGATACCATACCCAGGTCAGCTCCATAAGTGTGCTGAGGAAGCAGCCTCGTGCCCTGATTGGGAAGGACAGGCTGGGATGTGATGATGTTTTCCCAGTGCAGCCTTACCTGGCTGAGGACAAAATGCTCTCACCACAACTACTGTGGGAGTTCCTTCTGACACGGCTTGTGCTTCGTGGCCTTTCGGGTGGCACTTTCAAAGCAGTTTGGAACTGACCACAAGACAGATTGTTAAACTTCTTGACAAGTAGTTTGACTTCCTTAGGGCTTAGTTAATTAAAAATTCACTGCCCTGTGTCTGCCACTCATGAAGGACCTTGTCTTGGTCCAAGACAGCGTGAAATAAGAGAAAAGTGGATTTCTTCCAGGTCAAAGTGAGACAGCAAAGTTTGGGTCATAGCTGTGTGATCTCTCAACTCTTTAGTCTGGAGTAGGATCTCAAGAATATCTTAACTGGAAAAAAAAAAGAAATCTTCTTGAATGGCTCTGGTGAGTTTTCCTGACTCTGGGTCAAACTTGTCCAGAGAATTTCCCAGAAGAGAAGGCAGAGGGGAAAAGAACACACCAAAGAAAACAAGGCTCTGGAACAAGGGATCCAAGACATATTTTACTGTATATAGTGAAATTATTGTTTACCATCCCTGGTGGTCTAGAGACACTCTGATGAGCTGAATTACAGATGGAAATAGAGCATCCAAGACAAGGGGTGAGATGTGACAATCTCCTTGAGGATCTGCGTGATCCTCAGATATTGATTTACCACAGAAGTAGATATAAAGCTGACAGCAGTTATACACAGTTGGAGACTTTATGATGGATACATGAACCCAGGGACACATTCAAGACTATGGACTGCTTACAAATAGCTCACAACAAAAGTAACTCTCAAAATTAGCTGCTGCAAATCCTGTGGCAAAAATCCCCTAACTCATTTCCCTCTGTATCTTACAGAGAAATTATTTCTTTTGAACTTGTCACGTGTAAAAACCGACTTTCTTTAATGTTAAAGGGACACAGATTACAGGGTGAAATCTGCTCCTTGATTAGATTAGCAAAGCTCATGGAATCAGGGCTTTAGTAGCCAGCTTCAAAACTGTACTTAAAACCTATGTGACCATTATTTACAGATCAGAAGCGCAGAATCTCACACTAACAATGTCCATTTACAAACCTGAAGAAGCACTCACACAACTTTCTTGCACTGCACTGCAGTGACAACACTGTCATTCACTACAACACACAGGTACAAAACTGTGACATAGAATAAGACTTGCATTCAGTGGCAACAGTACATTTAGAAATCAGCAGTTTTAGAAGCAAATCAAGCCATGCCTTGCATTACAGCTTAAGGGGGGTTGTGATGCACTTTGGTAAGGCAGAGTTAGAGACAGATGGAGAAAAATATAAATTCCATTTCAACAATCATTTCCTGTGTTACACTTTCATAGCCCCATGCAATGATTAGCTCTGCCATTCCCCAGGCAACTTCAAAGTCATCATTAGTTGACAGTAAATAATCAGAATACTGCTTAAAATACAAAACAGTTATCAACATATTCCAAATGTTTTTAATTTAAGAGACTATTTGAAGATCCCAGGATAATGGCTGAGTAACTCCCTTGATGATTTTTCCAGCTGACAGTGCAGCCCCACGCTTTGCCAACTGGGATGTAACTCAGCTTCGTGCTGCATTACCAACACATTGGGATAGCAAATATTTTGAACTAGTCTGGATACTTTGATGTGCAGGTTCCTGCCTCACTGGCCCTTCACAGTCATCCCTTTCAATCAGAGGCATTTACCATTTTGCCAAATACAGGGTGTTTCTATGTTTTCTTGCTGACAGGTTTAAGAAATCGCTCTCTGCAGGCAACAGTGAACTGCAAACACAGACATCCAGGAAAGCTCAGATACTTCAGAAAGCCAGGTAGTTTGGGTGTCTCACTGCATTTAGCCTGAGACAGAGATGAGAAAGTCCAAATTCTCTTGCAATTATCAAGCTAAAAGCAAGAAGTAATGGGTCAAGAAATAGAACCACTGCAACAGCATTTCAACCTATTGTATCCAAGTGTTACCACTTTCCAGTCACACTGTATTTGGTGCTCAACCTGAGTACTAAGCTGACTTTTTAGCTACCAAAGAATAAAATTACCTCTTCTGTCTTTCAATCACAAAGACACATTCTGTTGCTTCTCTTCACCAGGAAAAGTTACTTAAGCCTTTGGACGCAAATTTTCCTGCCAAATTCTTACAACGCACTTTTTCCTTCAATCCCCTGTTATTTGTTCTCCCCAAAGACCCAACAGCCAAGACCAAAAGCTTTTGCTAATAGTCTTCACTGCATGGCTCATGACTTCGAAAGGATAACAGTGGAGCTTATATGACATTAACCTTAACGAGAATTTACACAGAGGAATTGCATCCTACCAACATCCTCAATTTTCTAAATCTGCTCTAACATACCAAGTGCTATAGTTACAGTGTTCAGTCAAAGCACAGCAATCAAAAACATTTGGAGCAATAAGTCACAATATATGAGTTGGGGGGGAAAAAAAGGGAGAAATATCCTGAAATACTAACACAGAGCAACTGCACAACTCTCAGGAGACCCTTAAGAGTCCTTAGATTCCAATAAGACTTCCCAAGAAGTCTGTGGATGCAAAGAGGACTGTGTGTAGGATTTGACTTCCAAATGATACACAACTGTGGCATAAGGAGTTAACTGCTTTATGACATTATATTAGGAATTTTTCCTTTGATTTAGTAAACGTTCTGAACTAATTCCATGATATTTAAATAGTAGTTCTGTAACACATCGTATCTGGGCTGAAAGACACTCAATTTTCACAACCACACAAACAAATCTTCCAGGCAGGTCTGCAGTTATATCCCTAATAATCCCCCTAATAGAGCTGTAACAGAGTTCTCCAGTTCACCTGTTTTGTTTTACTGTGGGGATTGCTTTAGTCTATCCCCAGTACCTAACTGGACTCAGCTGTAAAAACCCACAAAAACATTAGTCCCCACTGCAGAGTTTACTGAAATTAAAGCCAAGAATTAAATAAGCATTAGGAAGCACAAGGAAACATTAGGACACCAGTGGTCCCAGGGCTGGGATGCAGTCTCAAACATAAGCCACCTGAGCCTTTGGATGGCTTCTTTTGGACATGACATCAGAGATGAGTTACAGGGAAGGATTTGACAGCAGGTAATTAGAGCAGTTTGCAGACATGTAGAAAGGTAACGGTGGAAACAGCATATTTGTTTTCAGCAATTAATAAGTGGGTGCTGAAGGCTGGTGTCACAGGTCCACTGGAGATGGAAACAACATTTTAATGAGAATTAAAATAGAGCTAAGCCACAGAAGCCCCCAGGAAGAGCAGACAAAGCCCTTTCTGGTGCACGATACCACAAGGGAGCCAGTTTAAAAGAGCAAGGAGGAGAACACGTGATTAAAAATGATCCCTAACAGAGAACCAAAGGCAATTGAGAGGAGGAGGCTGCATCCCCCGACACGAACTGGGCAGAATAAGCAAGTAGAAAACTTGACCTACCTTCTCCCCACAGAGGTAGGAAAGATTACACGAGAAACTTTTTCCTCGCAGAAAATGTGACCTCGTGTTTATTTAGGAGTAACTTTTCATTCATATTGAAATTGGTCAATTAACATTAAAAATGCAAGAGGAAGGGCTATAAAAGCTGCCTCTGGGATCATTAATTTTTAATCATCCCTTCGAAATGGCCAAACAAAAGCAAAAAAACCCTCTGTCCCACTCCCCGGTTTGAGGTGTGGAGCTGCATAAAACCAGTTACTTCTTGGAGTCAGCAACCCAGGCAATATAAACACAGGTTCCTGGATGAAAACAGAGTAAAGATTTCACAGACCCTGCAGGTCTTGCTCAGCAGAGCCTCTGTTAATTCTGAAGCCACTGGGTGTGTAGGGACATCGAGATGTTCCTCTTCACAATGAAGCTCACAAAGAAAGAGGTGCTGATTAACATTGAGACTTGGGAATATTCTTAACGAGAGGTGGTCCTTTAAAATCCCTCCCTTCTGCCCTTGCACTGTAATGTCTTGAGAAATAAATGCAGCTCCAGCTTTTATTATTCTATGACTACTAACTTTAAAAATATCAATACTGGCTTTTGGTCGAGACCCCACGTCATTACAGAAAATTCAGTGTTCAGATTGCTTTGTTTTCTAATTATATCCTGGCTCTTTAGATCATTAAAGACTGGACATTGGGAAAAAAATTCTTCACCAAAAAGTTTGTCTAAGCATTCTGTTGCAGAAACTTTTAAATGCAATTTAAAGCATGTGTTAAAGCAGTGAAGTTATCTGTGATATGTTATGCCAGTTTTATCCAGCTACAAGAGATTTGGAGTAAGATATGGGAATAAGTAGCTCCCAATTGTCTTAGCACCCGAGCTCACAACGTCATTATATTTATTAGAGGGTCTCAAGAAAACACTCTGGTAGTGTCAGAATAACGAATTTCCTCTCTGTAACTTTTGGGGGGGGGGGGGGGGAAGTGTTAATAATTAAGCAGTTTTTCCCCTTCCACTTCTAGAACTTCATTATTTTGGGTTAAATTATAAACTTCCTCGTGGTTTACTCTTTTAAAAAGTACTTTAAGACAAGTTTAGACTTTTAGATTAAAGAAAAATAAAATAAAATTCTGTTCCATTACTTTCTCTTTTTTTTTTTTAACCTCAATCAACGTTAGGAGAAAACTACTGATGTAAACAAAGATTTTATCACTTCAAATTATGATAACTCAGACACCATTAAAACTAAATTGCAATAATTCATGCCTGAGAACAGTTGTTGTCTTTTCTGCTACTGTAAAAGAGCAAGTGCAATTCTTTTTCCCCATATACAAGTTTAATGGCTATTTTCAAATTTGCTTTCTGATGACCACAGATGTAGGATAAACTAAC